CCTCACAGACAAATCTTGGCCATAAAATCCAGAGCAGCAGCCAGATGACTGAAACTTGAAGTGCTGCTGTAGAGTCTAGCAAGAGAAAACAGTCCAGGGTGACAGCAGTACATTAACACACAGAGTAATACATTACTAGCAGTGATGCCATACTGCATTGTGGCTTAATTGTGTTTAATGGAGTCCTGCAGTCTCTGTGATTTAGCTGCACATGTCAAAGCAGGGCAATTCCCGGTTCATTTGCCTGTAGAAAAACACAGCAGCTTTACATAACCCGTTTGAGAGAGTACTGGAAGCACCTCAGATATTCTGTCTACTCTCACCTCCTTCAGTTTGCCTCTGGTATATTAATGTCATGAATTCAAACCAGACCAAAAAACCCAAACTAAACAACTCCCTTCTAGAAGCACATCTTCACCCCCAATATGTATTTGCCCACCCAGTATTCCCACACATTTTAGTTCTGTTTTCTGCTAGACGGGAAAGAGACCTCAGCAGCATTTTTTTTTTGTCATCCATCCAAAGCCATTCACCTTTTAATAGCATGTGGGTGATGAAAGAGTTGGAATTGACATGTTAAATCCCAGGCCAGAATTACACTGCCAAAGCCCTTCAGGAAAAGAAGGAAATTGGAACTTGGTCATTCTGGTGCCTTTTAAAACCAAAATTGTTATTTTTTCTAGTGGGAAAGGATAAGAGGATGGAGTCCTTGTGTTGTGGAAGATGGTGGCAGAATCCACATTAAAATTTAGCATGACTAAGATTGTCTGAAGTCTTAAATAACTATCTCAAATACACCTAAAGGAATTTTAAAAGTTAACATTTTTAATCCTATCAGTTTGCTCTTAATTAAGTGGTTTTCTCAAAAGAATCTACCTTTTGGAAGGAAATTTGCAGTTCTAGCTTTTTTCTTAACATGCATTTTGATGCATAAAGTTGTCGTGGATAACTCATATTTTGTTTCTGCTTATTGGTGAAAAGGGATTGGTTAAAACAAAGGGGGAGAGCTAATTTTGGAGTACTTCCCTTTAAATTGTCTTAAGCTAAGTCAACAATTTAATGATTTATTAAAAAAAAAAAGGGAATATTTAGTAACCATCTAGGCTGGCTGTCCAAAACAGCTGTACCATTAAAATAATTTACATCTTTCCTATATGTGTATAAGTCACCTTTAATTATCAATAGTTGCCTTTTGTCTTTTTGCACATTAAATTTAGAACTGGTTTCTAGCTGAATCAAATCACAGCCCAGCTTGTCTAGCCTGGAGACACTGTGCTGAACCTGCTCCCCCCAGTTACAGATACAGCTTTGAAAGCGGGAAGAATCAAAAATCAAACTGAGACTGATGGGAAGATGATGTCGTGTATAGGAAAATCTGAAACAGAAGTCAGGAATTTTCTTCAACTTGTCTTTTTTGTCCTTATAGAGGAGAGGATAGGCTACAAGAACATTGGCATCAGTGATAATTAGACTCTACAGAAACCACCATATAACCCTCTCACACACGCACACATTGGTATAAACATATGTTTCATGACAGAGGTTTTAAGTTTTAAAAAAGAAGGTCATTTGGATTTCAAAATTCCAGTTAACTTTGAAACAGTTAACTTCCAATCTGTGTTGGTGCTGCAGCAGGTGCTGCTGCTGTATTTTTCAGCTAATCATGGGCTGTCAGTCTGTGACCTTTCCTAGGTCTGACGCTGAAGTGACAGTGTGACTGTTTGTGTAGCATTGCCTCAGGTTTTGATGACCCCTACAAAGGTAAGCATTGAATGCCAATGGGTTGTCCTTGCCTCTTTTGTCTTTGTTGCTAATGCCAGAGGAGCATTTAAATGTGTGGAAAAGATGGTCTCTCTTACATGTTTACAGCTGGAGGAAACCCCTTTATGGTCTCCTGCTGTCAGGGGCAGCAACACCACTTTGAGGATCCAATCAAACACCACTTGAAAGCAACTTAGATTTGTGCCCTCAAAGATTTATTTGTTTGTTTGCTTATTTGTTTCAAACGTCTAAATACAAGTTAATTCCTTTTTTCATTTGACCTAACTTTAGACCTCTTAAAGTCTGTTCTAGCCACACCAGTAGAAAAAGGGCTGTAGAGTTCTTAACACAACTCACGTTCTTCTCAAGAAGCACATGCACCTTCTCCTTAAAACCAAAGGTATTCAGTGTTGGGTCTGTTGTCGTGCATTAGATCAGAGAGAACAACTAATTGGTACATAGAATCCAAGTCTTTTGCACAGTTGTATTATTAACATCCAGAACTGTGTTTATTTCTTACTCTCAAAAATATTCTCCAAAGAGTCACACGATATTTATTATTAAATAAGATGACAACTGCCATCTGTCACATCAGGCAACATCAGCAACATCAGTTGCTACTTGGTGTTAGAAATGATAGTGGGAATGCTATTTTTAGGGGAAATAGCCAGCCTCTCTTGCACAATGAAATAAGCCCTCAATATAGAAGGTATTTATTACATTTATTTGGAATGCAGCTGTGTAAATTTGTCCATTTAGGACCATTTAAATTTAGATGGTGAAGAATGAGCAGGCATCTGTAGGTGGAAAAAAGAGACAATTTGAGTGAGTTTGGTTACACTGCATTAAGGTATTAATTTTGACATTCAAAGAGCTGTCACTCATGCAGGATTGCAGTGGCTGTGAAAAATACTGTCAGAAAGCAAAAATCAGTGGGTTCCTTTCTACCTTCTTCCCTTAGTTTCAATTACTAGATTAGAAAAAAAAATCTGCAGCTTTTTTTATCACTATTCACTCTAGAGCAGGATTATCAAGAGACATTGCAGAACAAAAAATAGACTCACCATAAAATCTGCTTCTTAATTTAATTTCAGATTAAGACCATGCTTGGAAAGTGTCTTTCAACTTTCCAACTCAAAGTCACCTTCAACTTTGGTGTATATTGAGCCTGTTTAACAGTTAAGAGAAATAGCATAAGAGAAGGTGCATTTACTTGTATAGAGTGCCTGTATATATTTGTGTGGATACATGTATACAAATTACATGAAATAGCATGGTTTATACAATGCACACCTTCTAGAGAAGAGAGAATAGTCAGGGAATTCTATGTTTTGAATGAATTCTTTTTCCCTTCTGCTCCTCCACCACATTCCAACACAGTCATGATTCATATCAGCAAGTCGTACTTCAGCTAACAGAGGCTAAGCAGCCAGTTTAGCAGCTTAATTTAGGGAAGCTCTCTCATCTCATACAACTATAATTATATGTGAGTGAGCAGATCTGGCAAACAAACCTCTGGAACAGAGTATTTTCATTTATCTCTCTTAAAACATGGATGGCAGAAGTGTCAAGTAAGGGGTCTAACTCAAAGCTGTGGGTTCACAGCCTGGACGTCCAAGCTAGAAGAGAAAGATTGCTGTTATCAACATTTCCAGTGTATAGTTGATTATCAAGATTAGCCTGTCTTAATCTTACTAACCCAATTGCAGTGGTTTTCCTTCTATTTTTTTTTAATCTAACATTAGTGTGCCTTACAAATACGTGTGTGTACAGACATATACACACATACATGTCTGCATGGATATATAAATGTGAGTTCCTGCCTGGTGCAGCAGGAGTATCTCTGTGACTTCCCCACCTCCCTGGTGCCTGTGAGGCTCTGCAAGTGGAACTGAACAATGGTGATGATGATTCATCTGCCATGAGAATGTCACCAAGGTGATGTCAGCCTATGCCCTGTGTCCAAACTGCTACTATAAAGAAAAAAAAGGCAGGTCACTATTGTGGAAGACTGTCTTCTGAAGGGAACAGAAGGCTTGATTTGCCAACAGGACCCACTTCTTTGGGGAACTCCGCAGTCTCCCTGGAGCTGGGGTTGAAGGTGTGGATGGAAAGGTACAGCCCTCAGATTATTGATTTCTGAGGTAGGCAGTGAGAAAGTTTCAGCTAGCAGGCTAAGGGCAGTCAGGAGATTGATTCTTCAGGGCCTTGGGACAGCTGCTTAAGAGATCAGGAGCACAAGCAGTGTTCTTCTCTATCCTTCCAGTCACAGGGAATGAGGATGCAAGAAGACACATGAGCCAGCAGATCAATGCCTTGCTTGGAGCCCTTCCCTGCAAGAAGGACACTGAGGTTCTGGGGCATGTCCAGAGAAGGGAACAGAGCTGGTGAAGGGTGTGGAGCACAAGTCCAATGAGGAGCAGCTGAGGGACCTGGGATTGATTAGCCTGGAGAAAAGGAGTCTGAGGAAGGACTTCAACACTCTTTATAATCACCTGAGAGGTGTTTGTAGTGAGGTGTGCTCTTCTCCCATGTGACAAGTGACAAGATAAGAGAAAATGGCCTCAAGTAGGGTCCAAAGGACATTTAGATTGGATATTAGGAAAACTTTTTTCACAGAAAGTGTTGTCAAGCATTGGAGCAGGTTGCCCAGGGAAGTGGTGTAGCCACCATTCCTGGAGGTATTTAGAGGACATGTAGATGTGGAGTTTAAGGATGTGGTTCAGTGGTGGTCTTGGGAGAGCTGCATCAACAGTTGAACTAAACAGTCTTAAAGGTCATACCCAGCCTAAACAATTCTGTGATTCTGTGAAAAAAATATAAAGAATGGTTAATGAGTTATTTCTACATCTGTAAAAGAATTGTGGACAAAAATATACAGCTGAGAGCTTATTTCCTTATAAGCTTTGGATCCCTTCCCCATCTCTCCAATTTCTGGATTTGCCTACACCATGTGTATAGAGCATTAGCCTAGAAGAGAAATTGTAGTCAATGTACTTGGAAAGATCCTTTGGGTAAAGTTTGTCCATCTTGTCATTAGGAAGCCAAATTAGTTAAATTTTGGCTCTTTTTACAAGTTAAATCTAGGTAGACTAAGTATCACAAAAATAGGAAAAAAGAGATTCTGATAACAATGCTCAAAGAATAATTTTTCATCTTTAATAATTTCCCCTGGCTTGTGTTTGACATGGAATTTTATTTTCATTTTATGATTTCCCTATTTCCTTCATTTCCCTCAGGAGAGAGAAACAGAAGAAGGAGATGTCAGGTGGCTTTCAGTTATATGCCTCAAAATGAAGATGAATTGGAATTAAAAGTTGGCGACATCATTGAAGTTGTGGGGGAGGTGAGCACATCTTTAATTGAATATACATACATGCATTTCTGACATGTCTTGTGCATGCTAAGTTCCTCAGTACATAATTTAAACCAGACATTTTTCTTCTCTGCTATACTGACCTGTCTGGTTGGGGTTACTGTTGGGGATTAGGGGTTGTTGGTTTTTTTCTTACGGATTTTGTGACTCTTTTCCCCCCTGTAGCATTTCTGCTGGTTTTACATCAGTTGATGTTTCAGACTTCTGTTCAGGGCTCTAAGTTCATGTTACAGAGCTCTTGAGTTCATACCTCTGAAGAACCAAAGATTATAGCAGAAGAAACTTTTCACGATTTTAGTAAGCCAGTTACGGGGAGAAACTACCTTTGCAAAGTTAAACATATTTAAGAAATTTACTTGAATCTCTACAGGAGTTCACCTTTTGTTTTCTTTGGCAGCAAATTTTAAGAATTTTGGTCTTAATCAGTTTAAAAAAAACAAAACTAAAACCAAATAAAAAACTTCAACAAAATATTTAGAGACTCAAGATGCACTTATTTTGGTTAGAACTGGATGTGGAAAATTAATTACACAAATTGGGAACAAATTATGCAAGCTTGGACAGAGAGATAGAGATTTTCTTTGCGTGGGTGACCCTGGCTGCAGGATCAAGAAATGGTGTTTGCTCCCAAAAGCTTCAGTGTTCCATTAGAGATTTTACAAGTATCTTCTGGAGCTTAATAACATGAGGACGAAAGTCAAAATGATAGCATGCCTCCTTTAAGTAGAGTGCATTGAAACTAATTTTTTCATATTTATTTAACTTTAAAAAGAAGACCTTAGTCTGCTCAGGCAGCCAATATAATGTGTGTTGCAGTTTGTATCATTTATTGTAGGATTTTTTTTCTCTGCCATGACTCAGCAGTAATTCAACATTTATTTTCTTTTCAAGGATATATAGTTAATTTACTTTTTCTTGCATCTGTCACGCAATCAATTCAAAAAGAGTATAAATTCTACTGTAATCTACATGGCATCCAGCATTTTCTTATAAGAGATTAAATTCTCACATCTGAATGTAAGAAGCTTAGTGTTCACTGGTTTTGCTCTAACCTAGCTGTGCATACCAGCCCTGCACATCATTCTTCTCCTGGAATCAGATGTGTCACTTAACCGACCTTATTCTGTCTGTGAGCAGTTTTGTAATGGGGGAATTCAAGGTTATAAGAGCATATTCTGAATATATTGTAAATGCCATATTATAATGAGTTTCATGGCATCACATGAACTGTTTTCATTGGGCAATTTGAGGTATATTTGACATCACATGGCCATGCAAATACTTATTAAAAGTTTTAAGTCTGTGTCTTTTAAGAGTAAATTAATGGAATAAAATCTTTTCCTAGTATCCAGCCAACAAATTAACTCTACTGAATGAATTGCATGATTAAATAATTTAGATGACACACTTTTGGAATGTATCTCTAGTCTTTTTTAAAATTTGAAAAACTTAATTATACATACCTGATTTATTTATATCCAAAAGAGACTGAAAATGTCTGCATTAAAATTGTAAAATGTAGAACTATAAAAGTGAAACATTCCATGTGTGTGCTTATAGTTAAGAGCATGTTTTTTGAAACTAGCTTGGGGTTTTCTTTTGGGTGAAAGTAGATTAGCTGGTAGAACAGGGAAAATAGGAAATTAAAAAAAAATTCTCAATGCTTCAGGAAGTATTGTTGTGGGACTTTTATTTTCCATTATGGTTGATATCAAGCAGTTGATGTTGAATATTTCTTGTAATTTCCTCTTCTGCTCTTATCATAATAGTGTTAATTCCTCGAAAAAGTAGACGTGGTAGTTTGTGGTAGTAGAATATTTCTTTTGAAACAGGAACTTAATTTGGTGCAGAAAGTTGCACCAACAAATGTGGTAATTTAGTTGTTAACTCTTCTGCTTTTAGGTAATGCCCATAAAGAGTCATTGCATTGAAATAGAATTCATAGCGTTTTTGTCATTCTACAATGCTTCTTATTTCAAATGATAAATATTTTATGTGGGTGACTTATTATTTAAAAAATAGGTCTTCCTCAGTTGTGAAAGTTGAGGTTTTTTTGCAAGGGCCAAAATCATGCTGTATTATTGCAGAACCCCCCTCACCAAAGAACCAGAAAAAGCCTTTCCACAAAGGCAACAATTTGAGATAATTCTTGTAAAATACAGGTTTTGTTTATCATTACTCAGGATTAAAAACTGGATGATACCTTCCACATTATTTAGAGCAAATCAGTGTAATTGGAACATTAATGGTCATTCACTTTCCATTTCCAGTCGCTCTTTTCTCTTATCCCATCTTTTTATTCATGAATAGGTCTCAGTATTATATTGTATCTTCCTAAGAAAGTTGTATCAGTTAAAGTCATTGGTTTAATTGACTTGGATTAATATTTTAAAATCTCCATAGATTTATGTTTAGTTGAAAATAAATCAATTCCTGAGTTACAGCAAACTAAAACTGGTATTATTTATGTCAATATACTGTCTATATATCTTCATGTAGTTATTGAGAAGGAAAAAAAAAGTGTTAAAATGTTGCTTTTGGTTGAATTCATTAAACTTTTCCTGCTGCAAAGAAAGCCTAATTGGACTTAGTTCTTAAGGTAGTGTGTTCTGCTCTTCCTCAAGCCTGTTCAAGATCACTGCCTCCAGCACAGGTTTGACAGAAGGGAACACAAGTCTCAGCTGCCTCCAGCAGTGCCCAAGGGTGTTTCCCCAGATTCCCAGTGAAAATTGGTTACACTGACATCAGAGGGGGATGTGCTGAGGATGATGATGTCTTCCCTTCTCCCACCTCTGCATATGTAATAGCATCCAAAGCTGCCCTGATCCTTCCTCCTGGTGCCAACAGATGGGATAAGATATTTTGAAAGGGTTTTTTGTGCCTGTAGTAGTAGTAGTAGGTTGAATGGGAAATTCCTGTTTCAGCAGAAGTGATTTGGGGCTGTAGAGTGGATTGAAACAACAGCAAGTGTGAGTTTTGAACTTGTCACCAGATGGATATCCTTAGAGGTTGTATGTGTTCAGAATTCACAGTTCCTTCCTATTTGTCCTAGATAGAAATTAATTATAATGAGATCAAACATTCAACACAATAGATAAAATTCTTGTCATTAAAATAGGTTTCCATAACTACAGACACTGATACCCACGAGACATTAATTAACAGACTTAAATTAAAAGTACATTTAAAGCTAACAAGAGAAGCAATTTCATCATTGTTTATGTTCACATTTATTGTGTGATTGATAGCTTTTTGCTTGTCATTTTCCTACCTCATTACCTCTAATTCTAATTACAGTTGTTCCAAAATACAACTGCAACTAATTGTCTTATTAAATGCAAATATCTAAATTCCAATTATATTTCACCCTTACAATTTCATAGGATGCCAGATAATTAACCTGTACCGTGAGAGTAAGGACATTTGGCACATCATTCAAGAGTTCTGAGGCTGCTTGCATTTGGGATTACTCTGTCACTGTGCTGCTGTCACCTCTTGGCCTCCTCCTGCTGAGAAGTCAGCTTTTTGGCAATGTGTAGTGCATGGAGTTAAGCTCACAAGTCTTTGCCTGACACCTTCTGTAATACCACTGAGCTTATTCTTTGACTTTTAGGTAACATCGCCATATATTACTTGATCAAAATCTATCAGTAACTCCTTTGAAATTATAAAAATGCAAACTGAATTTTGATAAATCTGTGGCCTCTTATTTGCAAGATTATTGGATGGGGTTTTTTTGTTCTTGTTATCAGATAAAGTGATGCAACCCATGTCCAAGAACAGGATAAACTGGGGATTGAGCTGGACTGTAAGTCAGTTAAAGTGACTTATTTTGGCATCTATAGAGTTGAAAGGGGAATATTATGTTAAATATTAGTTAAATAATGAATATTTAACTGTAGTGAGGGGTTGGTCTGTGTCACAAATATAGAACTGTATAAATTACAAGAAAACAGCTGTGAATAAATGCTGTGGTTTCACGTCTCTCAGTTTCTTTTCTGTGGAATGCTGTGACAGTTTTTCCAGATTGTCTTCTAACAGGTTGTTCATGAGGATTTCTATGATGACTTCTTATTTGGTTAGTTCATGTGGTAGGGGACTTCTTTTTGGGGAAATCGGGGTGCAAGTACCACTGAGTCCATTTAAGGTCATCCAAGTTCTACGTGATTGTTTTTGCAGCCCCTCAGTTTCTTGTTCAGAAAATGATGTTAAAAAACCCCAACAAAAACCCAAACCACAAAATCAAACAAACAAAAATTCCCAAAGCGCATTTTAACACTTTAAAATAGAGAAACCTGAAGCTGAAAAGATTCCCTAGTAAAAAGCACTTGTGCAGTTTTTAATTTTTACCTTCTGCACCTGAGTTATCAAACAGTTTCCAGACATACTGTGCTGTACCAGAATTCCAAGGGATGACTGACACCTTAGGGGCATGGCTCTCTCTGAATGCACTCCCAAAATAAGCCATCAAGTGGCACTGTAGGCACCATCTTCTCTTGAGGTCTTGTTTCCAAAATGAATTTTCCCATTGGCAGTAGATGTGATCTGTTTATTTTGCCTCTTGGGAATCTGTGTTTTTAATTTCCTTTCAACATGTGATTGCTTTTGTCCTTTGAGCTCAATATTTTCCATTATAATTTATAAGATAAAGGAGTTTTTTTCTCCTTTGCTTTCTGTGCTCTATTTCTCTCAAAGCAAAAGAAAATCTGTTGACCTTGAGTTTCTCTCTTTCCTGTTGCCTGCCTCTGGCATTGCTTTTATTCCTGGGATTGTGTTTTAGTTTCAACAGCCCAGAAAGACTCTGTTATGATCCAGGGAGTCTTTCTTCCATTTGAAACCTTTCCTGACTCAGAGCTTTCCTCATTTGCCTTAGCTAAGCTGTAAGTAATCTGTCAGCCTAATAGGCAAAGCTTCAGGTTGTAGAACATCTTGTGGAACAGGCCAATATAGGAGTTTATTGGAAATACAGTTTAGGTCAGTGATTCCAAAGAGCTGAACATTTTAATAATTTAACAACTTTAGCCTATTAATTATATAGCAAGGTGTAAGCAAGCAGCTGTGGCAGTCCTAGATTTTCTGGCAAGCAGCTGATGGTAGAACTTCTTTTCCAGCATAGGATGTGGGCTGCCAAATGAAGCCCTCCTCTATTTAGATTGTTTGGTTCAGCACATGAATGCTGAGCATAAATCAGGATGTAAATGTATAAATTCTGCAAACACTTTCTTTTAATAGGAGGGTAACAAATTTTATTGAGCTCGTGCCGCCAGATGGATTACCCCCCATGAATAATGGATTTTCATTTGTAAGGTTATATTGGCTGTGAATTATTGCAACTTACCAAACCATATGGTAATGGAATGCCCCAGTTTGGGATAATTAAAACCTGGAGGTATTTTAGTGTCTTATATTGCATGGATTCATCTTTAGCTGGTGTGTTTTGAGGCTTAACGATATGTAGCAGGTAGCTTTAATGTTTAAAATACTTTAAGCTTTTGATACTTTTGATGAAAATTCCCTAATAAATCTTCGGGAGGCCCAGTTTGACCTCAATCTCTAATGTCTTGCTAACATGATTCTGCATTTTCCTTGTGGAAAAAAAATCCTGGGCTTTGCTTTAGATTTTTTTCTGAATTTGTAGAATTATTGAATATGACATGGTATTTTTAGGCAACTTTTCAGTCAGCTGAAAAACTTAAAATAAGCTAATGGATGATCTGAGTATACTCATGTGGATTTTAGTTTTAGCTGTCTAAATATCTCTGTATATATATATTTCTGTACATATGGATAGAGGTCTGTAAATCAACACATCACATAAAGAGTGGTAATGTTAAAGGTAAGAAAACTCTGAAGTGTTACTCTAGAAGAAGTAAGCAAGTGAAAATTACTAGAGGAAAAGTTGCGTCTGAATGATATTGGTCACATTATTTGTCAAGTAATCTCAGCATTTTGCAAAGCAGGGATCTTGGGAATTCCATAAATCCTCTGATTCATCTTCTGGTCAATCAGCTAATGCAGTTGTGGTTTAATATTTAACTCTAATCAATATAGCCACCTGGGAATACTGCATTAGAAAAATTGAAATATTTTATAGCTCAAAGAGTCTTTGCCGTTTTGTGTTTTTTCTATATAACTATATTTTTATATGGAATATAAAATTTACATTGAATCATCTTTAGCAGTATAATTAATTTATAGAGTCTGAGTGCTGTGTGTCATGCAGTTTCAGTTTTCCATGTTGCTTTTTATTAGTCTGGAGAGAAGAAAGCAAATATTACCTTTTAGAGACTCTGATACTGTGATTTGAAAAACCTCCACCTCACTGAAGTGATTGAGTGATATGTATTCTATCTTCTGAAGTAGCAGCAAGATAGTAAGAAGAGCAAGATAATTCCCAGAGATGTGCTGGGAATACTACTGAGGCATTGAAGGGGGGGAAGTTTTGTCATGGACAGATACTGAGATTAAATGAAAGTCTGGACTGAGCCACTTCCAAATGAAAACAAAAATTCAGCTCATGAGATCAAGAAATATGGGGTTTTTACTGAAATGTCTCATGTAGCTAAGTTGAAAAAAAGCATACATTCCTCTATATTTTGAGGAAATACTTGGTTGTATTATTATGAGGTGTCTTTTCTAAGGACTCAAATTTTTCACAGATAAGTAAGAAGATAGTTTTCATAGAATTTTTTCTGTAATAATTAGCTAGCTTCATTTAAAGTGTGGGGTTGTTTTTTTTAACAGTAAAGTTAATTTTCTCTTTTCATAAATGGGGGGAGGATAGGCAGGAGAGAGATGAGTCAAGCATTATTGGAGACTGATGTGTCACAGATCTACACTGTCCTCCTGTGTCATGTTTTCAGTGAAGGGACAGTGTCTGACAGATGAAAAACATTTATCTATCAAGGGTGTGTTTAGCTGATGCATATAATCAGTCATTTCTTGCTGTGCCATTATAACCTAAAGGCATTTCTAAGAGCTGTCATTTCACTGCCCGACACCACCATTCAATCCTGAATGGATTATAGAGGAGGGAGTTTGCAATTTTAAAGTGATATTTTCTCTTGGGTTTTGGCTAGGTAGTGTCCCTCCTCCTCCTGACATTATCATTATTATGTATTTCAGTACCTCTTTGTAAATCTCTATTCAAATATGCATTAGTACTGTTCTTTGTTCTCCACAGGTTTCTTACATTTACACATGAATGATGTAGCACCATTCTTATTTTTTAAGATACAAAATTTCTGATTTTGATGGGGAAGGCAAGGATGTTTACATTATATTAAGATATCTAAATTAGATTCTCTGAGTAACACATTGTAGGTGTTTCTCTTTCACCATTGATTAATATGGTAGTTTGGCATTTAAGAAAAAAAGTGGGAAATAAAAAACACCACAATTACTTAGGGAATTCAAACAGAATTCACAAATCACATCCATTAAGATGGTCTTGAATAGCCCTACAGTGTGCACTGAAAATTTGGTGATTGAGTAGATATCCATAAAAATTGAAATGGAGAGACACCCTGTGCTCTCTAGTTGCTCTTTTATCTTTTTATGTAATTCTTGTCCAAGCTTTTGACTGCTGTCAGCACTGCTGACGTTTACAGATGTGTTCATGCATCTCTCTTGTTTTCACTTATGAAGAAAAAAAAAAAAAGGGAGTTCTGGCTTAGAGCCTATGCCATGTGCTCCTTATACCTGAAATTAATTAATATAAACTATTCAGAGCCATTGCTGTCATTTGTTGAATGTATATAATGGTACTCAGTAAAGTGTTGCTTATGTAAAACCCCCTCTTTTTTTTGTGTCGGTGCAGGTGGAAGAGGGCTGGTGGGAAGGAATACTTAATGGAAAGACTGGCATGTTTCCCTCCAACTTCATAAAGGAGCTCTCTGATTCTGATGATGTTGGAATAGTACAGGAGGAGCAAATAAAGTCAAGTAAGGAAAAACTTATTATTGATGTTCAGTATGTATGTCTGTGTCTAGCTCATAACACATTGATAGGACAGCACATTCTTATCTCTTTCTTGGAAGTGTTTTTGAATGCCATGTTTTAATTTATGCTGAAAGGGTCAGATGATGATGATTTATGTATACCTGCAGGGCTACCTGAGTTGCAACATTGTCAGTGCTCTCTGAGCTGTGTTAGACTTGCTGAGCCACAACAGGCTAAGAGAGAAAGCAATGATGATGACTGCATTTGTATTTCAAAATTAATTACAAGGGATTTTTTGTCTTTAGACATGGAAAGCAACCAAACATTTACAAAGTGGCTTATTGAAAGTGGAGGGATTAATGTGCCATGATATCTATGACAACCAAAGACTTAAGGATTCATATTTACTGGTGTGGGACATGCAGCACTTTTTCCCTCCAGGTGCTGAACATGTTTCTATCACCTCTGACACCCACTGCCCCAGCAGCCAAAGGGAAAAAGGCCAGAACTGGGACATGGACTTTGTTCTCTCATTTACAGTGGGCCAGTACTGCTGCAGGTGAAAAGCATGTTTGGTAACGAAGTTTGCAATAGTGTAAACATGGGAGTGGGTTGTCTGTCCTATCTATAACTTCTCGGGGAGAATAACCTGAACCAAAACAACCTGTGCTGTTACATGAAATGAAAAGTTGTTGGTCTTCATGGTTTTATGTTTTTCAAGCAGATATTATTTTTTTTTTTCCTAATTCAGTGATCACATCTGAATCTTCAGAGGGAAAAAAAAAAAAAAAAGAAGGCAATTGTATTTGCATATTTCAGGCTAATTCCACAATACTTGCCAAGGTCTTCCTATTTTTAGTACTGCAGATGTTCATTGCTATGTGGTGTTCTCCCGAGGTCTCTGAATAAGCAGAAGTCAAAAGACTACCAAGACCTTTGTAAGCTGATTTCAGCTGAAATTTACCAAAATCTTTATAGTTAACTCTGTCAATAAGAGGTAGAAAATGATAACACTTTCCTCTTTTTCCTCATTTTTCCACTTAAGGTAAATTTGTCACCCTTATTCCATACCATAGAAATACAATCCTGAAAAACCTTAACTTCTGCAATGATGAAAATATTTTATATTTTTTTGTAATGGAGTATATTTTCATGTGTGAATTTATACGGGTAACCTAATCTTGTGGTCAGTGTTGTTCAAGGTATTTAAATGTAACATTCCTCCAGACTGGTATGAACATATTTTAAATTTTATAATTTTAATGTAATGGAGAGGGAGAAAGGGCATTAAGTAAACCTTTACTTAATTCACATTTCAGTGAGATTGCAAACTGATTTCTATAACCTGCATATGCTATCATGAATTATGTTCATTATAAACACAGTGCATATTGGAAGAACTAATTGTGTAGAGTAATTTCAGCTCTGGAGTCTGTAATGTTGTTCACTATATAAGTGAACAAGGTAGGTGATACTGTTCAGGATGGAATATCCCAATTTTTTTATATGAATGAATGAATGAATGTTCTTTCCCGGTAATTTGGTAATATATACTTCATAATAGGCCTCCTAAAAATGGCTTTTAGCAAAAACATACATTGGGGTGTGCAAAAGTAGCCACAAAACATTAACTTTTGATGTCCATTAAGACCCATGCTTTGTTCAGGCTTGAATTTATGTGCTGGTTCTGACTGTCAGTGGAACCCAAACCTGTGACATTTGTATGGAGAAGACAGCAGTAACACAAATGTTGTTGCATCTTTAAATAAATTGAAGGTAATTGTAGGTGGGAGATGGATTTCCTAGTTTCCCATATTTATTTTAATTCTTTGGAGGTGCTTTGTGGGTATCTCAGATGAGGAGCTATTAGATGTATCTATAAAACAAAAGAGCACTGTAAACCTCCTGAGAGAGAGACAGTGACTCAAGGAATGCTGAGATTGTGGGGATTTTAGTGGATTTTTATTTATTTTTTCTTTGAGTAAAACTGTCAATTTAATAATAGCATTCCCTTAGGAGAATTATGGGAAATATGCATAAATTCAATTTTTTTTATATATGGTTTATGTGATTGACACAGCTGTTGCTCTGTAACACATAGTGCTTCATGAGCCTCTGTTCAGGCACACTGAATATCTGTATTTGAAAATCTCCATAATGAGATTCCAAAAATTTCAACAAGTTTACACAGCTGACTAGGAATGATAATCTCATTCCATGTTTAGTCTGAAAACATAGTAAAATCAAAAATGAACATGTAAACCCTGGAAGATTTGGCCATCAGGTTAGTAGTACTGTTGAAATGCTCTAGGTTACATCTCAAAAAAGGTGTGTATTCATGGCTTCTGTGAAAACTTCAAATATATCTGTATCACAGGACTTGGAAGCCTTGAATGTGAATTTTAGGTTATGAAGTTGGTACTTGGGTGAGGGTTTGAACTCAGACCCTGGGCAGCCACTGAGGTTCTGCTCAGCATTTAGAGGAGCCTAGAAAGGGTTGGGGCTTGGCTCTGCAATCTTGAGCAGCAGCCTTGAACGGCTCATCCCAACTTGTAGACTGGATAAGGTAATACTTGGGCAGATTTACTCTGAGACATGGGAAAATTGCATGGGATATGTGGAGAACTGGCACTGTGCAAACACATGAGTATTTTTAAGCTAATAATTAAATTCAATGTCTTGGTTAAATTTAATTAAACTTGATTTTTAAATCACATTTTACTGACCATCTATAAAGAGAATTTTTGAAGGGCAAATGTAATTTTGGTGAACTCAAAGTGAAAGAAGAACAGAAAAATTACATAACTTAGCTTTTTATGAATAAAGTTAATAAAAACCTGTATTTCTCTGTCTTTCTGTTATAATCCACAGCAGCCCCAATGGAGAGAAAAATGTTGTATGATTTTATTGGTTTTGTTATGTCCATGTATATTTTATGGCAGATCAGAGTAAGCAGCCAGAAGAAATTATCTTGGTTTCTTTTCATGCTCTGCCATAGACTAACCTCAGAAGGTTGTTCAGAGCAAAAATTTCCTTTTTTGAAAATGCCTGGGGCTGGTTTTGGAAGCGCTAAATATTTCTGAATCCTGACTGTGGGACTTTGCTTGCCCCTTATTTGGAAAGGGTTGGGAACTGGGCCTCCCCTCCATGGTGAGTGCTCAGCAGGCTGGAAAACAAGACTGTTGCAAGATCAAAATATTTGGGGGGTTGTTTCTTTGATTTCAAAGCATTTGTCCCAGCTGTAAGGTGATTGCCAAATTTCTTGTCTTCAAAGGCACATTTTGGAATGTAAGTACAGACAGGATCAGGTACTCTTAGAGTAAACAGCAGTTCTTTTTTCTTTAAAGCATGCTCTTAAATGAAAATATTGCTTTTCTTGGGCCAACTGTTACAGCATGAATGTGTAGTATGCATTAGCAATTTATTACTATATTAGATACATGGATTATAAGATAATTTTTCATATTTCTCAGAGATAGAGTATTAATTTTAAGACTATTTGCAATACAATTTCTTGTCAATACAGCCTGTAGAGGAGCAGAAAGCTGACATGCAATCAAAAAAATTCTGTTTGAGATAATTGCAATTTAACATTGAGGAGGTTATTTCAAAAAGCATTTAGTATGTTCACAGCAGTGCCATGACAGCATTGAAAGGTGGCCTTTTGTGTCTTGGTATCTCTGATGTGTGTTCTCTAAGGTACAGCTGGGCCTCATGGTATCTATCAACTATTTTTAGAACATGTTAGTGATGGCCCCTGAAAAGTCCTGGCTGCTGGAGTTAGAACTGATCATGGTCTCATCAGCTGATGCTTCAGTCAGGCAACCTCCTCTGTTCTGTGTTCTTAAAACTTTACATTTCCATTACTGTCGCTCTGGCTCTCCACAGTGTCACGAAGCTTACCTTACTTTTCTCTTAGCAGTGGGTTGATGTTTGATTGTTTTAATAGCACTTTCGTAATAAGAAAGTGTAAAGATGGATTTGTAGCATTTTTACTTCCTCATTACATTAAACTAAAGCAATGAAAATCTTTTGTTATTAATTAAACTGTAAGAATGTAAGAAAGAATCAGCTTTTTATAATATATAAATAAGTGTAGCTTTTTATTGTCTGAAGGTCCAACAGAATGATATACAGCAGAAAAAAAATCCCACACATTTTTGGTACCAAACTGGGAGTGATTCTGTGTTGGGACAATTCACATATACTGGCTATTTTTGCTATAAAATTTTACTGAAGGCATCAATTTTTTAGATGGTAGGAGAGATTTGGAACAAGCTGGGCTGGCATTGCTGTATCCTTGGACTTGCCTGGGTTTTTAAATCTGACACACAAAACAGCTGCTCATGCCCTTACCTTCACTTGAATTTCACGTCCTAAATATCAGAGCATGAGCTATCTCACTAGCAATGAAAATAAATAAATTAATGCATTTTATAATAAAAATGTTATCTTAAATATCTGAGAAGTGGGATTTGGTTTCAGTTGTTTTCCTGTTTTCCCTCTTAATTTTAGAATTTTGCTTTTGTTAATGTCAATGCCAAGTCACACCTCATTAAGCTTTTAGCTGAAAAACTGATTTATTCAGGTTTTAGTGTCCTATCCTTTCTACTAAACACTGTTTAAGACCAATTCCCTTGTCCAAAATATTTCCAGTAAGTCATCTTGGACAGACATAGTACTTCTGATGCTCACAGGTTCCTGGTACATTAGAGAGATGTGACTATTTTATTACTCTGTTTGGACTTTGAACAAGCTGTGCTTGTCAAGTGCACTACATCTGCATCAGGAATGTTGAGACACTGTGAGTACATCATTGAATTAATAATATTTTTTCAGGGTTCCCCTGTGCAAGGCTGCATAAAACAGAGAGTTTTATTTGCGAGTCTCACAACTTGATGGACAACAGACCAAACCTAAGAAGAATACATTCTGTTGGACAATGTAAATAACAGCTTTAGCAAAATAATGAGATTCTGTTATCTGACATACATGCAGTAAGAATATTTCAACTTCATGTACAATCAGATCTGTTTGTCAATATTCTCATCATTTTGCTAATGAGGCTTTTAAATGTCATTGACTGTAAATACAGATTAAAACCTCTTCCTTTCCCTTCTTTTTACCGTCATTCGATCTCTTTACCCCCACCCTGCCCCTTCTCCTTTTTTTTTTTTTTTTTTTTTTTGTCTTTCCTTCTCTTGTCTGCTGTCAGGAAAATCTGCCTTTGAAGGGACAATTCTGTACAGAGTGGCACCGGCAAAGATTGACAGCTACAGACGTTATAACAGTGAGTGTGTTTCAAAATCATCCAGCAATAGCTTCGGTCCTCTGAACTTGTTTGATTTATCTACACTTGTAAATTGTGCCACTGCTACCCACTTATGGCTACTCTACGTGCATATATCTGTCTGTAAGCTGAAGTCAGTTTGCTGCTGATCAGCTGCCCAGCCTTAATGCAATGAGAATGCACCTGTTCCCCCCGTGCATGTGTGTGCTCCGTGTCCATACAGTGTACGTGCATAATCCCACCATAAGTTGTGAATTGCATTGGATGTTTTGGTCTCAGCTATGGATTGAATCTAAGACTATTTAGTCCCATCATTTTTGCCCCCTGAATTGAGAAGACTGTTAATAATCACCGCTAGTCTTTGAATCAAAAGTCTATCTGCTCTAAAAGTAAAGTTCCTATTGTGATTGTTGAACTCATAAAGTATGCTTTGCTTTTCTTAAAAGATATTTTGGATTTTGGTTTGTTTGAAGTTTTCCTTTTTGGTGATTTTTTAAAATTTTTACTGCATGCTCTTCATTTGGCATTCTGTCTTTGACAGTTATTACTCACAGCATTCTGGCTGGTAGATTTTTTCTGCCAAGGAGAATAAAAGATATAAAGCTATTTTCATTTCATGTTCAGGTTTTTGGCTTCTGCTTTTTAAAAGAAGGCCACATCCTGCTTTTCATGTTCTTTTACTGCCCTGGTAATACAGAAAAAGAGAGAATGGTTGCATCAGATGCAAGACTGAGGAAACAAGGAAGACAGAAATCTGTCCTTCCACCTGTTTCCTCATGGAGAAATCTAGCTAAAAGATTCATATTTGGTGTGACTAAGTGCAAAGTGTTCAGTTCTGTCTTCCGGTGAACAGGATGTTGTCCTAGCTTTGGCATCTGCTTTTGCCCCAGAGAGCTTTCTCTTGAGAGGATCCATGCTGTGCTACCCTTCTTCCTCCTTTATGGGTGGGAGTGTTTGGTCTTCTACCTCTGAGGACTTCTGTCCTGCATGTAGACAGCAAAGGATTAAGTAGTTGAAGTGGCATTATTCTGTTCTGATATTTGTTCTTACACGTATTTTTTTTTCCTTAACAAATCTGATCCTTTTTTTTAACAAAAGTCTTTGTGAATGTGTGCAGCTCTGAGTATTTCCCCATGGAAAATTATCTTCCTGTCTACCAGAATTCATTTTGCAGTTCTTTGCAAGCTCCAGCCAAGCCCTTGCTCTTGCTGAAGCTGACTATGTGACTGGTGGTCTTCAAATTTTTGTGCTGCTTCTCACGTTATATCTCCATGACTGCTTATCAATCACTCAAATTTCATGCTTCTTTCAGAGTTCTTAGACCATCATGTCCTCTAATCCACCCATCTGATGAGCATAATAAGGATTTATGAAATTCATTTCCAGTATGCTTGGCTTTGGACTTTGAGATGAAGCTTCAAATCAGATGCAAGGTCTGCCATTGGAGCCTTTAATTTCACAATCTTACTGGTTGTGCTGCCCTAACATTACCTTTAAAAGTTTCCCAAAAGCCTGCTCTCCATGCCCAGCCTGTTTTTCATTAAGGACCAAATGATCCTTCCCATCTTCTCAAGTCATCTAAAGTAAGCATAACTGAAGCCAGGAAGAATTCCGTCACCTTTCCAGTTGTGCTAGAGCTCTGCATTTAGTTCTTCTTCTTAATCACACTGGCCCATGGTTGTGCCATATCACAGAAAATAGATTGCATCAAACTGATTTCAGAGGACAGGTTTGGATGGATGTCTACAGTAAAGCTTGATAACCAGCTGCAAGAAAACAGCTTAACCCACAGTAGATTGTCTTACAATGCTCTGGGCAAACACCCATCTAAACTTTGTTTTTTAAAGCTGATAAAAGGTATCTATTTATACTACCTGGAGCTGGTTTACCTGGAGGTTTGATTCTACCTTCCTTGCAAATTGTTTGTGACTTGCACATTTTTTCATGCTGCAGAGGTGTGTTACTTTCTTCACAAAGCTGCATCTCAGAAGGCCAGATTTCCAGCTACACTTAATGGCCTGTTTGTTGCTTTTTGGATAGGAAATGGGACTGAGGAATGGGTAATACACAAAATCAGGGAAGTCTTAAACAAGACGAGGCTTTGCATTGTTGTTGCTATCAGAGATGCTCTTACCTAAACTAACACACAAAAAGGAGAGTCCCTTAGTCTCCCTGCTCCATCTCTTTACAGCTCACTTCCTGCAAACTTACTCATCATGCTCTTCCTGAACAAGCTGACTGATGGTACAGCCAGCTCCTTCCATTTCACATCTCCTCTATGGCCCATATTTTTAGGCAAATATCCATGAGCTTATGTCTCCAGTGAAAACCATTTGGAGATATTCCACAGAATTGTTTTCATTTGGGGATGTCTGGTTAAAACAACTCACGGCTGCTCTAATTTCAACTTGCTGATTTCTCCATAAATTAAGCTGGAGTCAATTCATAACTTTAGATTAGTTATGCCTAGGCAATGCTTGGGTTCACCTGTATCACATTGCATGAAGTGTTGCTCAACTTTGTAATCAAGCTTAGAGCTTTTACTTCACAAACACATGCTCAGTGCTAAAAACTTTTATTTTGAAAGCCATTTTCCAACTGCTGTGTTTAAAAGAAATTTTCTTACTTAACCAAGGCCTGTAATGGCTGTTGAATTAGTTGCTGCTTCTAGAGATACCCTCCACTGAAATATGCAAGATTGTCTCCTGCAGAAAAACCCAGCCTTGCCTTTATATGCTGACATGGCTTTCTTGGTCATGAGGTATGCCAGGCTCTGCTCAACAGCAATTCCAGCTCCTTTGGCATTCTGCTCGTCAACCTGCTGTCAGAAAATCTTTGCTACTGCACATGCTGGGTGAAGAGAGACACACAGCAACAAAAAACTTGCCATTTTGTTGATCACAGTCCTCTTTTCTCTCATCCCTCAATTTTCTTGCACCTCCACGAACAACGCTTCTTGGATTTCTACTTTTTTTATTTTTACTGATTTAGTTTCTCTTTCTTGCTTCGCTTTCTTTTTCTTCAAAGATGCAATAACTGAGGAACAGTGCAGATAAAATGCTTGATTTGACAAATATTTGCCTCTCTTTCCTTATATGTGGATCCACAATGCTGTCAGTAATAGCTATTAGATATAATGGAAGAAGATCAGGATCGTTGAAACAGAAACATTCGTGAGTAACCTCAATTGTGTTTTGTGTTTTCTATTGCTCCATCACTTTTTTTTACCTTTTTTTTTATTTGTCTCTCTCCCCTTAATTCTTGAGCAATTATGGCTGGTCAGAATTCTGAGAAATCAACAAGGCTGGTGTATTTATGATGTTGTAAACCCCATTTAGGGGTGTCAGAAGATGAGCAAAGGTAAATGAGAAACCTGAATGTGGATTTTAACAGCTCTGAAGAGAGGACAGTTACAACTTTATATTTCACTCACCTTATTACAACTTACTCACAAAAAAGTGCTTGTATCAAATACACAGCTGCTACAGATGCTGCAATGAAAAATGACATCTGAGAAAGAAAAAATATAAAATTGGGGGAGGGATATTTTCATGATTAAATAAGCATCCTGTTTGCTGGAGAACAAATGTACCGATGACATGGGATTGGGGGCCTTGTGTGGAAAAATTATGTTGACTGGGGTGAAATGTTAAATTCTTCTGTTGGTTGGGATTCCTGCTACCAAGTGGTTTTCCATAAGTTTCACAAAAGACTGGTGCTTGGTGACTGGCAGGTAAAGAGCCCTGTTGGCTGTGGCTGCTTACCTCTCCTTCCACGTGTAATAATGCGTGCCTGTACTTGCTGAGGGTGGTGAAGTCCCCAAATGAAGAGGACAATGGTTGTCTACGGTTGTAGAGCTCCTGAACGAATGAATGATTGCTCTTACAGTACTTAGGGAAGTGGCTGGGAAGGTGGGGAAGCCAGCAAGTTCTGTACTGATGGCTCTGTGCTCGTGCTGCAGAAGATGCTTGTGCTGCATCAATGCATGCTGCTTCGTGGGGCCAGGCACCGCTCCCTTCCCCTTGCATGACCACTTGTGCAAGCATAGGCATTTTGGGGCATTTCTTATGTGGCAAGAACTGTTATGCAAAGGAAAATGAACATGTTGAAAGCAAATGACAAAATGTTTAGCTGACACAGTTACATTTTTTCAAGGAATGACTGAGAATAACAAATAATTATTATTATTGAAATAGTCTGCCTCAGCAGACATGTATAATCACTGTACATGTATAATCACTGTTGGTAAAGAAGCATAAATTTGTGTTTTGAAAGCATGAATTTATTAATCTTTAAACTAAGAAGAATCAACATGTCTTTCTTCTACAGTAGTATTTAAAATCCAATTTCATTTTCTGGTTTTGAGTCTTTTATGACACTGGAATGTTGCTGGGGATTCCTTCAACAGCATGCAGGATTTTGACAGAAAGCAAGCTCAAGACTTGAGCTTATAGGATGTGAGCATTTGTTCTCTGTTCACCAGTATGAGAGGAAAAGGACAGTTCCTGTCTCATCTACTGCAATTACCATGTATAACTTCACCACCTTTGTCATTCAGATCAATTACCTGGGTGTTCCATGCTGTCATTCTCTGAATAGAAGGAAAGGACATATTTCCCCTTGCTTTCCTTCCCTTCCATAAAAGTAAAAACCTCAATAAGCTTCATTTACAAATTTCTTTGTTCTATTGAACACAGTTGACAGTGTTTCTCTCTGGCTGCTATACCAAATCAGGAGATCCTTTGCGTGGTCTCAGGGTGTGCCTCTGAACAGCTGACCTTTCCATTGCTTAACAGAGCTGAGAAGTGCTTAGAGGGCCAGGACACCACTGGCCTTTCCTGTGTCAGAGTGGTCCCTCTTTTGTCCAGGGCCATAAATTGTCAGCGGAGAGAACAATCCAGAAAAAAACCAAAAATTAAATTGCCAAATAATAGCTCAAAATAGAAAGCTCTGTAAACGTAGAATGTATTTCCTTTTCTCCCCTGCCATTTTAAGCTGTTTAGAAACAATTTGTTTCCTGCTTTGAATGAAGTTAATTTTACCACAGCTGTTTATTTTTGTTTTAACAGCTTTAGTTACACAGCCCTTTATCATCTTTCTGATTTAGAATCCTGGTTTGTTGCCAGCACAGCTCTGAGAGGCCGTTGCTGAATTAAGTCTGATGTTTTGGTCTCTTTTTAATCCCTGTTTGAGCTAATCTGTTTTGGTACATTTCAGAATGTTGCTCTCAAAAGACCTGTAACTGCTATAGCAGGAGTGTGGTGTGTTTGAAATGTCTCGGGGAAACAATCTCTCTTATGTACCCATAGAGGAAAAAATGTGTGAAGTGCGAAATTCCTCCAGACAGTGTTGAGAAAATTTAATCTTCATGAATACTAAATGAGCTTGCATTTGTAAGGAGCATGAATCAATAAAGAATCAAAACTCGGAGTGTTTTTAAAAAGCTGTAGACCCACATCTTTTTCCAGCCAAAAGCTGGGAACAGTTGGCCCCTGGGAATTTTAACTTCTTGCTGGTGATGGTGCCCTTGTTCACACTTGAAGGAACTTACTAGAAAAATGCAGCCAGCGCTTAGATTTGAGCTCTACTGTGTGCTGCTACAGGTGATTCAGCAACAATAAATCTAGGTAAAAGAATAGAGGTTTTGATTATAGAGCCAGAAATTTGAAGTGATGTTCCCAAAAGACTTGAAAAATATGTTTATTGAGAATTAAAAAAGGGAAATTAAAATTCTGAAAAACTTTCTTGCTATTAAGATGGATGTGATAGTAAGCATGTTAGTGAGCACCTTATTGATGTAATGTTCTTAGCTTGTCAGCTCTCCAAATGCTAACAGAGAGCTGACAGATTCTAGGGAAGTTGCTGTTAAAAAAAAAAAAAAATAGCAAAAATTAGTGAGAGGCCTGACTACTGTAGCTTTTATCCTATACTGGTTTTATTTGAAGTACCTAATAGCTGGGCTTACAAGAAGAGCAAGATGTTCTCAGTGTTTCTGAGGACAGCAGTTTGCTGAGCTGCTGGCCTGACCCTTGTGCTCAAGCCCATCGCTGTGGTAGACCGCAGCTGTTTCAGGCTGAGTGGGTGTGCTGGTCAGCAGAGAGGGGGACTGTGACCACTGCAATTCTCTCCAGTTTTTAATGATCATTTAGCAGCCTGACCTCTCTGATAGCTGTACCGCTTCATGAAGAAAATTTCATACTTTAAACTCATAATCTAACAGTCTGTGTCACTCAAGTTCCTGCTTAGATCCCAGCTGTGTCCATGGGCTACATTTATCTTTTGAAAAAACTATCCAGCCAACTGTGCTCTGCCAATAAGCTATTGCAGTAGTGGCAAAAAATTCCATGAAAAGCTAAACAAAAAAACCCTAACAAAACCAAAAAACCAACCAACCAACCAACCAAACAAACAAAAACAAAAGCCATGAAAAAAACATGTGACTGGAAGAGGAACTTTTTTCTGGTTTTAAGAGGAAAGATCACCTGAGCCAGGTGGCAGCTGCATCAAGAGAATTGTTGATAGATAATACTGATATATACTGATATATACTGATATGTATACGCACACACACACGTATGTGTCACACATACACATGTGTATATATATATATATATATTTATACATGCATATGTATTTGTATCAGGGAACAACCCAATGAAAAAATAAATGAGGACAGAATCTATTAGGCAAGGGTGGGCACAGTGTTGCAAATTCTTGCTTCCAAGTTCTTTCTCTGTCCAAATCAGAAGAGTGTATCTCATGTATCTGGACATGAAGGAAAGTAAGAGAGAATCTCCTTAGCATGTCTTTAATGGTAAAAGCATGTTAGACTGTTCTCTGCAGGACTGTTTTGTACTCAAGCAAGGCATTATTCTTTCTTAATGTTACTGCAGATCCTCACTTTATCTTATTTGTTCTATAGTTTCCACTGCCATAGAGTTCTTCTCTTCTGCTCCCTTTGTCTCTAGACCCCAGTCATGCTGTGATAAGAGCACAAGCAGGGTTTTTATTCTTACAGATTTATTTAGTTAAGTACAGAGAGCTCCTCAGTTTGGGTCAGTCAAAAATAATTAAATTAGGTCATTTTCCCAGTTGATCTGGAAGAACTCTTTTTAACTTTGAAGGAGCTTTGTATCTGATCACTCAAATGCGATTTACTTTGGTCAGACCACACTTCAGCCCATTCTGTCCTCATGTAAAAAACAAAAAAGAAAAAGAAGCAATGCTGTTATTTCCTGTGTTGCTTTCATTTTGAGGACTGTATACTAAGGCAGCTCTGCGGCAGTATAGAGAATAAACAAAGAACGAACAACTCATGGATTATCGTCGAGCACAGATGGGTGATGCTTGGGAAATCTGTTGTGAGGCTTCTGATACAAAGTGTGATGCCTCATCACAGAAGAATGGTCAAAAAGTTAAAAGCAGAAAATGCTGTAATGAAAAACAAGTGATGACCCAGAAGGAAACAAAAGATTTATTCTTATTGGATCCCCTTGAGGTTTCTGATCTTTCTTTCGTGTAAACTTCAAAGATATGAAGTCCATGTGAGACCTGTTGAGTAATTTTCACAATTACTTTCATATTTTAATTCCTTCCACTGACCAAAGTTCAGATCTTCATCCACAACTAGGGACGCAGAAAACCTATTTTAATAACCTATTTTAAAGATAGCTTTTCTGTTCATTTCAGGGAGTGGCTAAGAGCAGTCATGGTTTCTTATCAGTTACTTCTGGCAGGAGGTGTCTTCATTGCTTCTTCCCTCCATCACAAAATCGTTTGAGATTTTGGCAGGGATGACATTAGAAACCTTTGCCAGAGGGTAATTTTCCATATCAAGATATTTTGTTCAGCTAAAAGATGATGATCACTACAATTTGTCTGAGTTTTTTGAGTTGTGGATGTTTTATACTCAGTATAGTCAATGGCTGACCATTGTCTTTGCAGTTGGAGGTGGTAAATAAAGTTGGTTCTAGCTTCTATCTCAGCCAGGGCCCCAGTGACTGATAATTTGCAAAGCTGGAGAAGGTCCAGCTGGTGGAACTTGAGCTTCTTCAGCTACTGCCCAAGTCAGAGCAAGGGGAGGGAACAAGAAAGGAGCAATGACTTTGCCACACTGCCCAAGGAGATTTATACCTGTCTGGCTTAATTTACCCTTGCATCTCCGAGTGCCTCTGCTGGAAACACTGTGCAAAGGCTCTGCTATGGATAACCACTCCTCTCCTGCCCACCAGAGCACCAAGCAGCATCACAGCAATGCTTAAATTCCATGGTTGCTGATTTCCTGAGGTCTGGAAGTGAAGTAGTGAACAGGATTTACTTTACTGATGGTAGGCATGCTACCATTCTAACTACCATAATGAATATGATAATTAACCAGGTCTGAGGTGTTCTCACAGGCCCTTTTAAGAAAAATAAAACATAAAGAAATCAAGACTTTGGCATATTTAAGAAAATTATTGTAATATAATTATTTAATATTCATGTAAATTACAATCCTGCACTGCTTATGGAATAAATAACTTGTTCAATGTTATTTGAATTGAATTGAATATCTGAAGAAATAGAAGTGTTGCTGATTTTCAACAATAGGTGTTGGAGCCATTCAGGAGGCAAGAGGGCCAAAGTATTTTGCTTAATCTGTAGTCTTTCTGTTTGTTTCTAATAGGGAACTTACTCTAATTCTGCCTTTGTACTCCTTTCGTGTTAAAAATACAGAAAATCTCAGGGCAGCATATCATGGCTTTTCTGTTTTTGGCTAAAAGTCCAGATCTGACATGTAATTCCTGATTTCATTTCCTAGCAGCACCCTGGTGTTGAAACCCATTTAACATGAAGTTGTTCCTGGAGGCCATAGGATGTGCTCTGGTTTCTGTGGTTCATCTACACTGTCAGTCTTCTATGATGAAAATCTATTGCAATCACTTTGTTGACCTTGATTTAGAAGTAATTAAGAAGAAAAGCTTATTTGAAATTATTTATTTTATGACTTGTAAGATCCAGTCTATGACATCATGAGTGATTGTTAGGGAAATGTGAGGATTTGAGTTTCTTATTGTTAGGTAAAATTAGTACTGTAACAGCAGGAATTGTTGTGGTTTTCCAGGAAACAGCTAATTTTGTGAGTCAGATTTAAGTGGTCTAGGGAAGGAAACTGCAGTGGGTCACTTTTGCTGCCAGTGGCTATTTGACCTGATGCTGCATCCTTTTGTAATGTGGCTGAAACATCACCTTATTGCACTTGTGGCCTCTGCTAATCTGCTAAATGCAGATGAATTTTCCTATTCACTGAAAGAAGTAATGCAAATCAGAACATCAGTTTTGATTTGTTATATTCCTAGAGGAGAGTGTGCATGGGTGCTTTTCTTATGAGGCTGTCTATGCTGCAGAGAGGTTTAATTTTCAGCAGGGAACATATTATGCAGCTTATTTGATTGCAAATTTGTTTGAACAGCTTTCAGCTTTATATTTCCCAGTTAGGTAATGTAGCTTTAGATACTAATTGCATAATTGGCTTGAGTCACACAGATTTAAGGTACAGCGTACCTGATCTGACTGCTTGTTAGCTTTATGTGGCTTTGTACAATAGGAGCCTTACAGCTGACTTTAAGTATTTCTTTTATTGGGGTCTCTTCCAAAGAGGTTTTGCCTGAGGAATAAGGAATTTCTTGGTACTCAAGGAATCACCATCCTCATTTGTGCAGTTTTGATGCTGGAGTATGCATGTTTTGTGGATTTGTGGATTGGTGTAATTTCTAATGAGTACACCAATCTGATGAAATAAAGTCATTTTTCAAAGTCAAAAATGAGTGCATGGCACAGAGAGCATCTTCTCTACCTATTTCTTGTGGTTTTGTTTTTCTCGAGAGGATGGTGGGAGGGACCATTTTCCAGTCACAATCTGATCTGAAAATAGTGAGCTTCACACCTTCTTTCATCCCTCCTTTTCACAGGCCTAAAAGATGCTACAGGCTCTGAGAGTGATGGTGGTGACTCTTGCAGTACAAAATCAGAAGGGGCCAATGGAGGCACAACAATCCAACCCAAAAAGGTCAAAGGTGTTGGCTTTGGAGATATCTTCAAAGACAAACCCATAAAGCTACGGCCAAGGTCAATAGAAGTTGAAAATGACTTCCTCCCAGTGGATAAGGTATGTGTCATTCCTTAATTGTCTCTTGGTGTTGTTTTAAGGAAGTTTTCATCTTAAAGTTCTAAGTTCTGTCACTGGCTAAAATTTGAAGCTTTAAGGTCATTATTTGCTAGTCTTTCTGTAGACCAGGTTCTGCTTTTTTTTATTTTTGCCTTAGACCAGAAAATGGATTCCAGTGAGGTTAGCTGCATGCAAAAATTAAAAAAAAAAATAAAAAATTATTGCTCTCAAGTATTTTCTTTAGGGAAACAACAAAAAAGTGCATGGTTTCAAATGAAGTCACGACTAAAAAAAATCTGTGAAATCCTTCCTTTAAGTGTAGAGTCAGATTTACACAGAGTTACTGATGTGCTGAGAAGTGTTAGGAGGCTTCCACAGCCTCAAGTTCTGCTATGGGCATAGTTACATGGTGCATTTTCTTTGCCCCCAGTGGTGATTTTAGGAAGCTCCTGGGCTCATGATACCTGGTGTGGCAATTCTCACCTTTTGATTCATGCTTGTCTGCTTGTCTATAGAAACAGGCACTACAGCAATTACCTTTTTTGGCCTGTAAGATTTTTTCTTCCAACCTAGATGAGTGATCTGATTTATAGCATCACACTTACTTCTACATCCACCCTGAGTTACAGGAGAAGAGGAGCACAGGAGGTCCTGCAGAGAGAGATGGAAACTTCTGAACTCAATTATGTTGAGGGACATTTGGTTAATATTTTGCAGGTGACCATTTTTCATTTAGTATAAAGAGGGTAGGGAAGAGCTGGAATAACCTAAATAAAGGAAAAACCTAGACTCTATTACTGCTTGACCATTGCTGACTTCTTCAAAGCCTGCATGGTGCCCTGCTTTCCTTCTGTTTCTGGGTGGACTTCCTAACTCATATGTTGGGTTTTGCAGAAGCATTTCCTTTCATTTAAAGTCTTTGAAAAGTCCTTATGAAGTGGCCTTCATTCCTTGGAAGAAAATCTTACTCCACATTGTAGTAAAGTGAAGTCTTTGTTTTCCACAAAGAACTGACAGGATTTTACCCAGCCAAAAACAGAATACACAATTTTCAGGAAACTTTTAACACAAACCTTCCTTCCTATGTCTTCAGGTTCTCCTAAAATTGACATGGTTAGTAAAAAATAATGGCTTGATTTTGTAAACACAATCCATCATTTGTGTTTGAAATGTGTAGATAACTAAAGACAACACTTCTTTGCTGTTGATGCTTTTTTCCTGCCCAGGATTAGGTTAACCTTTGAGAGGTGCCATTCACAGGCTTCAGCACCGAGGTCTTTGCCTACTACCAGCACAAAAACATGAGTCAGTGACACAACCTCTGTTAGAACTGCAGACCATTAACCTCCCTAAACACCCCAGCTGCAAGAAATTCCTCCCTTGTCATTGCCGTGTTCTTTACCATTTAGTGTTGAGTGTAACAGAATCCTACATTAATTTGGCCATCCCAAGCAAGGTCCTATTTAGCCTGAAAGCTCTGCATACTGGTTTGAAGTGTAGCAATGCATAAAGAGTTCCAAGTTAGTCCATATTTTTCTCAAACAATGTAGTTTTTAAAGTGATCTTTGCCCTGTTTTGTGTATTTCTCATCTACAAGTATAACTTCCACAAAACTGAAGCCTCAGTTTTTCAATAACTTGTAAACTTTTGACGAAGGAGAAAAAAATGCTTTCCTCTATTCCCCCCCCTTTTTTTATGCTTTCTGAAGTTTGGAGGCACTAAAACTCTTTCTGTTGCTTCTTTTTGATACAGTTATTGATGAAATATTACTGTAAGGATAATATGAATTTTTTTATTTAAAATATTTTCTAGCAACAGATTTTTTTAAAAAGCATCAGTAAGCTACTGTGAAGATTTTATAATGTGAGATTATTTATAACATGATAGTTCCTGTGTAAAATGTCAGTCCCATTTACAGAAGAATCAGCAGGGTCTTATTTTGTTGGTGTTATCAGTTTGTGTTCTAATATGTTTTCAATTTTATGAATCATAAGCTTAGATCATATTTCACAGAAAATTGCTGGAGTGTTAAAAAGGCTTTTACACAAATATTGGCAGGAACATGAAGGCAGAAAGGTTTGCTGCCAGCTGAGCAGAAGCAAATGCCATTAGGCTCTCCTGTAAATCACCAGGCAGTTTAGTGTGCTTCAAGTGTTTGCTCAGTGGCAGCAATGGGGGACTATAATCACCCTTGTCTTTTAAGGTGATCAATGAACTCTCAATAAAAGGCAAAACTGAGGAATTGCGTGAAACCTCATTGGTTTTATTGGTGTGCAGAATTCATTGTTAGGTGTTATTTGTTCTAAAAATCACAGAGGCAGATTATCCTAGGGAAATTAATGATGCAGTTGTGGGAGCTTAGTTTGAGCAGCACTATCAGAGCTCTGCTCTCTTAGAAAAATAGAAGAATCAAGCATTTATGCTTTGTTGTCCATTTCATTGTTGGTGCTGACGAGTCGACCGCTGGCCATGTATAGGCAGAATCAGATTCCTGAGGCTTGGCTCTGACAAATTTCCATTACTGATAAATGTAAGTGAGCTGTTTTACAGTGCTACACGTGACTGAAGTCATAGTCATGTGCAGCCACAGTCAAGATAGACAGGTTGTGTCTCCTGAGAAAATTCAGGGAAACACACTTGAGGCAGCACAATGTTTATGGTCAAATAGAAATGCCTGTTTTGCACGTCTCTCCTCTGCTCTGCAGCTTCAACACATTTAAACAGGTGCTTATGCTTACTTCTTTTTTTCCTTTTTCATTTTGTAGTAGCTTATCTAGAGCTTCTGTGTCTAGGCTGGACTTCCTTCCAATATGATCTGTGTGTGCTTCCATTGTTCTAACAAGCTATCATTTTTTCCTCTCCTGTATCTAAGAATAAACCTCTACAAGTACAGGAAAATTAATTCAACCAATACATTCCTTTGTCAGAGTTAACTGTATTGGGTTGATTTGTGAGTTGAGGCTTCAGCTGGGAAATGCTAAAGACCATGGTAGGTGAATATAAAATAAAAGGTCTTAAATAAATATTTTTATATTTCTGAAAACTGTCCTTACTTCAGAAGAGACTATTGAGTGTATATTGTACATTTTCCCCTTGAGATGTATTTATAATTTTCTTAATGCAAAACTTTCATAGTAGGCTACCAGTGGTGGATTTGAGCAGAGCTAGGTTTCATGAGCATCCTTTGATGAGATCACAGTACTGTTTGCCAAAACTTAGTGTAAATTATATACTCAGCCATCAACCCAGGGAGTATTACAGACACTGTAATGATTTAATATAAAGAGAGAGGCTGTCATGGCTCTGGAGTCAGCAACTTGTAAGATCTAGTTCACTCGTGTTTAGGGATCCTTACTGCAAAGCACTGAATTCATACAGAAATTTTTATTTTTTTGTAGAGAGTTTGGATATGTTTTAGATAGGAGAAATAGAGAACTAATGGAAGTAGACACAAGGGCTAGAAGCTCTTTTCAATTATTAAGTCTACCTGTCGTTAGTAATAAGATAAAAATTTGTAAACCCTGAGACTGAATGCCTGCAAGGTCTGAGTTTCTATCTCTAGCCGGCAAGCTGGGAACCCAGAAACTGTGGTGAGAATCTATCTTTGCACACCTGTTCTGTCAGTTTCTGCCTGCTTGCTTGCAGAAAACATTTTTACCCCTTAATTTCCAGTTGTCATTTAAAAGGGAATCTTTGAGAGACACAAGTTGGAGGCTCCTCTTAGTGTTTCTAAGCCAGCTGACGATGTGCCTGAGCTCTGCCAGCCCTGCCTGTGCACCCATGGTGCATGGCCAGGCCTGGCTGGGTGTGCCACGTGTGCCTGCATCTCATGGCTCTCTGCCTCTTGCTCTGCCTCTCCCACGCCTTTGGAAGTGCTCACTCTCCTAATAGAAGTGCTGGAGTCAGCGTTCAAAATCCTGAGATTGAAAGTGGATGCAAGCAAAACCACCTGGTACTGACTAGAAACATTCCTGAGAACACCTGCTGAGGCAGAGAGCACACAGTGGGAGCACCAAGTGTGTATGCAGCACTTTGCACTTAAAAGCACAGGTTTCTGGCATTCCTTTCTTCAGAGACAGCCATCGGCGGTGGCAGCAGCAGACGTGGCAAACATCAGCAGTTTGTCAAATTCCGTGTAGGAACAGAGGATGCACTCATCTGTTCAAGCTACATTCATGTTCTGCTTTGAAGTTCCTGTCTGCTACAGTCTGGCATCCCTGTCCTATCCATTTATTCTAGTGCCATCTTGTGAGGAAAGCTGCAGGGGAAGAAGGACCCTGACCCCTTCTGCAGCTGTCTTGAGAGCAGGGCTGCCTGCAGCAGGGTCTCGCTCCTGTGCTGGTGTAACTTCCCAGTCCTTGAGTTCACTGTGGAAACAGGATTTGTGTGTTTCTTTCATAATGTGAAAAAATAGTACAGGTTTGCAAATGGTGCCTGATGTTCATGAGGCAGTGTGGACATTATTAATAAATACTTTTGAAGATTTACTACCCCATTCTGGAGGAATAAAAAGGAGGGGTAGTGGAATTAAGATTGACAGGGGAGAGTTGAAAAGCAGCTTGCCCCATTTTGGGGAGGCAGACTCAAAGCAGGACCTAGCACTATGCGGGTAGAATGGGAAATGCAAAATTAAGTTTAAAGAGAGGTATAAATTTGATAACTTCAGCTGGCAGTGACTCTCTGCTGAGTCACTGAACTGTGCAATGTGAGTGAAGAGTGACTCCTCATCTCCTGTATGCTTCCTTCCCTTCTGTGCTATCCCATCTGTGCTTTCATGTTCTGTCAGTTTGGTTTCTAAAATGTTCAAGCTGTCTGAACAGAGTTGTCCAGGTATCAATGACATGGTTCAGCTTGCACATCAGCCTGCACGACTGGCTTTTGGCAGAGGATGTTACCCACACACTGGTTTGTGCTGCCTGTGATGTTTTATTAGGCTTTGGGTTTTTTTTAATTAAAGCAGCTATTTGACTCTAAATAATTGCAAGTTAGTTGTCCATGCC